TTTGGATCAAAGCTTGATCATTTCCAATTTCTGATATTTTTGATATTACATAATCATTCAATAACATCACTCAAACACTTCAGGTGATCACTTTCTTGATTTGTATTTAACAGTTTCTCGGTTCATAGATCCTGGATCACATAAAAAATATCTGTGGACATAAAATCTCTTTTCACATTCACACACACTCACTGAATGAAATAGGCAAAAGCACATCAGTGTGTTTTTTAACCAAACTCAACAGGTTTGGTAAGACGCACCCTTATTTCTCTCTGGGCAACTGCTGCACACCCACTTAAATCGCTCCAGGGCAGTCTCACCCTTATCCAAGCTGGGTATTTTCATCAGATGTTCTCTACGTTCTGCTGACAATGCAAGGCTTCAGGTTGAATAGATGACCTAATTACAGCGCCTGTGAGTGTTCAAAACAAATTGCTCACACTAACTTGAACTACTGAAAAGCTTTTATAAGTGGTGAATTAATGACGGACTCATTGGAGGGATGTCACAGTGACACTACGCTGGTGTGCTTTCTTTCTGGAACTGCATTCGCTGTACTGTTTTTGTAGGCTTAATGAAGTGCTCCTTCTCCTTCTCTGCCTTTAGGCTTTGACCTCAGAGCTGGCTCAGGCGCGTGATGAATCCAAGAACACCCAGAACGACCTCCTCCACAGTGATAATGTCCGACACGGCCGGGACAAGTACAAGACCCTGCGACAGATCAGGCAGGGCAACACCAAGCAGAGGATCGACGAGTTTGAGGCCTTATAAACAGCCTGCAGCCACTCACCCTTTCTGAATGGTCACTTAAATCTGGCTCTTCAGCTGACACACACACACACACACACACACACATACACACACACACACACACACACACAAACTCATGTATATCACACACCAGTTGCAGACTAAACTGGAGCAGTATGAGCACAGCAGAAGTATTGCTTACAGAGACACTCTCCTGTTGTGGGTTTGTCTGGAAGTGTGCAAGGCTTTGCAAATCCTCTGAACACAATTTAGTGCCAAAACCTTTTACTTCTTAGTGTTTCACATCCTATTTGTCTATTTGAATGTGTCTCAATTGATCAATTCAGACCAAATCATATTTTTATCCACAGATGAGATGAAGTAGTGGGAGTAGCCAAATTTTATTATTATTATTGATATTATTATTTCATGATGTGAAAATAGAGTGTGTAATCAAAGCCTCGCTTCTTTTCATGTCTGTCTGTTGTTGTTTTGGAAGAAAATGACAGTCGTTTAGAGCGACCACTCAGAAAGGGGTAAACAGTCCAAGGAGAAAAAAATCTTTGTGATTTCCATATATTTGAACACCTCCATTTCTGTTTTATTATTGCTTTACAATAGCTTCAAATCATGCCTAGTAAGATATTTATACTGTATATGGGACATTAAAAAGGGTATTTCATCTTGGTTTGTATATTTTTGCTATCTACTAATGATAAAACGTTTAATATTTTCAAAGGTTTTATAACCAAAATAATAGAAGTCTTATGTTCCATTATGTTTAACTTTGGATCACTAAAGAGATATAACTGTAAATTATTATTATTATTTTATACTGTAGAAGATATCCAGCTGAATGCCATTCGATCAGTTCAGGAGATGGCTTTCTTTTTAGGTACTCTAGATAATTTTTTGCAGTGCAGTTCACATAATCTTGATGATTGTTTCATCTTCAGAGCACTGTTTAAACTGTAACACGTAGGTTTAATATATTTTTATTTTTCTGCTCTGTTTCATGTCTATGTTTAGTTACAGATGAGCATTGTGTGCTGCTACACCCACCCCAGCCCCAAGTGGCCTTTCTCTCTGGCCGCCCCTCTGCAGGGTTCAGACCCAGACGGTTTGGCTTCAGTCTTAGCCAAGGTGCATAGAGACAAAATATGGATGTAACATTCAAAACTTTAGTTCTTTTAGTGTTAGACCTCCACTGAGGATTGAACTGAGGGCTGAGGTGAAGGTTATAAAGGGTTTTCATTTTGCAGCTCGGTCCCTGACTGGACTGACTCGGACAGTAAACGCCAACCTCGCCCCATTTCCTCTGTGGACATGAAGTAGCATCTACAGACACTGTAATGAAAACAGCTCTGCCGGCCTTTGTATACTGTATGAGCAGGATTTTATAATGAGGTGTTACACAAATTGGCAATAAAGAAAAATCTGATTTCACACCAGTGTTTATACTTTGTCTGCTGTAAAACTTTAACTATGTGGATATCCTGTTGACATTTTTCTGAGTGGGATGCTTTATTTGGTTAAAAAAAAAAAAAAAGACATCTTGTTATTTTTTTTTAATTGAACCCCCTTGGTAGCATATATCACCAAATAAGAACTGCCTTTAAATTGCCCCCCGGGGACAAATAAAGTTTTTGAATTAACTATTGGATGAATACCTGGAGATTTTCATGCTCCCCATTGGATGAACCCTGTAACTGTGAGCTGTAAACCCCTGAAGTGTTTTGCCTATCCTCTGAAACGTCTCGGGATCAAGTGGATGTAATAACACAAAATGTGGTGCAGACATTCACGGTTTGAAGAGGATGAACCTAAAAGCTTAACTTTTCCTTTCATAGCACCAGTAGACAGACGTTTGTGGATTTGAGTAAAATGTCTTGACAAACTTTTCAATGGAATTCGATGAGATTTGGTTCTTTGATAATTTGCTCTTACGATAGATTTAAAAACTTTTGCTAACCCTAAACTCTAAACATCAGGTTAGGATTAACGTTTGTGAAATTCTTTGCTACATGATAACATATCTTTATCTGATTCCTCATCCGTAGTTTGTGTTTGGTGCTCTATACCAAATGTGAAGTGTTATAAAACAGCTATGTCTGACCCGTAGATCTGATTAGATCTGCACTAATGTACAGTACAGCTCTGGTGCTTTTAACGATATATATCACTCCACTCGAGGTGTTCTGAATAGGCTACTGTGAACAAAGGTTACTGCGAACATGCTTTTTCTAGATTGATTGTGCTGATATTGTGAATGACGTCAACAATGTAGCTCCCAGAGCATTCATTCTCTCTTTGCATAAATCATATGGAAACATACTGATATGTACAAAGTATCATTGCTGTGCTGACATTCAGTACAACATTACTCCCTCTCATGTGACATTGCTTGAATTTATTTATGGTAAACTCCAAACATTAGCATATTGTTATCGCTTTATAGAGAATTTAAGATAATAATGTTCGGTGTGACTGTTTGATACATTAAAGGTCACATATTATCCTCCTTATCAACTAGTTTAAACAAGACTCAGAGTCTCCAAAAACATGACTGTGAAGCTTGTTAAGATCCACTCTGATCCTGTATTTGATCATGCCTTTAAACCCCTCTATTTCAGCCCTGCTCAGAACAGGCTGTTTCTGTGTCTGTAGCTTTAAATGCAAGTGACATGTGTTCGACCACGCCCCCTCTCTGGAAGGACTTGGGTGGCTTGGGCTTTTTCGCTCCATGCCCAATTGTTTATGGTGAGAAGGTGGACTCTGAGGGCAACACCTCGCTGTCGGAGTATCACCCACCTTGGGGAGGGGTTACTGCCCTTTGTGATGTCATGAAGGGAAAATCTCAGAGTACTACCTTCAAACTTAAGTGCAGTATGCTCTGAAGTAAGGCCATATCTGTGCTTTTTTAACTGACTGTAGCATGACTTGCTTAGAGATCACAATCTCTGCAGAAATAAAAACTGCATGCTGATGCGTTGAACCGTTAAATTTGGTCACGTTCACATTGTTGGCATGAACAGGCAAGCTGACATCATGTCACTTGTTGTTCACTTAGCTCTGGTTTCCATAGTTACAATCGAGAATCGGTTAACACAGATTCCAGGCCAGTGACATCACCACTCATTGTTTTTTTTTACTTCTTATTTTCATGTCGCAGTGAAAACTGAGCCTGAGCTTGTCTTTCACACGCTGCTTACACTGAGACTAGAAGGACTTCTTTGTAGGATGAGGAAACACTGGATGGTCTTGCAGCTCATTCTGAAATCACTCAAACCACTTCCTGTGACCGGCGGGTGTGGCTCCGGATTTCATTTCTAAGAAATATCATCCCGCTGTCTTTTCCAGTAATTTCATTTGCATTGATGTTTAGATGCTTGACTCCTCTAACCAAGCAGCACATTGAAGAGGACACAATCTAAGGTGCCCTGAAGTGCAACAGAGTGAAACATTTTTTTTATTTTTTTAAGCAAAAGACTAGGCTATTATATAAGCTTCTTCTTATTCACAACAAGTAGGTGGCAGAAACTGTACTCTATTACATTTATGTTACAATTATCATGACTGTTTTACTGATTCGGATCAATCATACAAAATATAATCAGTTTCTCCAATGTGTTAAAAAAACAAACAGGAAAAGTGTCCTTTTAGATGCTTTCAATGGAGAAAGCATGACATTGTGTCCTCCATTGTGCTCTGTCAGTGGAGGAAATGCAAGTGGTCCTCTAGTGTGGCTTCAGACTGTCCCAACATGCTGAAAAATATAAACTGTTGGTTTCATAAACTGAAAGAAAAATTTCACTCCATTAATAAATAATATAATAATAATAATAATAATGATAAATGTACACTCACAGTTATTGTCACCATAAGGTGTACAGTCTAAAAACAATGGCTCAGGTCCAGAACCAAACTACAGACACAGTAAGCAACAAAGTGAACATAGTGGAGCATCAAAGAGATTTGATTTGGGGGAGACCAAAAACAGCTTAAAGGAGAGTCAAGCTCATAATGTGCTCTAGCTAGGACGTTGCTGTGTCAACTTTATAATGATGCATAAAGTTGGTGTTCACAGTTTTGTGCTTCCCCCAAGTGGCCAAAAACAGTTACTACAAGTTTAACAACAAACAATTCCTCACTTATGAATCCCCTTATTGGCAATTTTCCAGAGTTTTCAGGACAATGTCTTGGCTGTTATTGGCTGACGAAGCTCAGTTGTTAAAAAGAAAATCAAGAAATAATACTTAGAGAAAATACTTTATTAATAAATATAAGTATTGCAGTACAATAAATTAAAACATAAATATATAAACACCTGTTCCCTGATTACGACTTCTTAACATTCTACAATTCTACAATTCACTTAGCAGAGGCTTTTATCCAAAGCGACATCTTATTTAAATGTATATTCATGTACTATACAAGTGATACACTAAGTGTAACAAGTTATTCAAAGGAAGAGTTGTAAATAATAACTTCAAATGTCTTTGTTTGTTTGTTATACTACGTTCTGACTACCATAATTCTTTTTTCAATATTTGACAAGAAGTCACTTCAGTTGCCAGAGTCTATTTCAGGTCTTCTCAGGGGTCTTTCAAAGGTACAGGAGGGGTTTTGGATCCTACAGATGCAGGTTCAAAGGGCCGTACTGTAGACCTGTAGACGGAGTGCTACCCTCGGGGATGGGCGTCTTCTGGAAGAGCTCTCTGCAGGCTCTCAGGGTCAGACACCTAAACACAACAAAACACACACACACAGCTAAATAAACACACAGTCATGCTTATTAAACACTTGTGCTCTTAAAAGCATTCCTAAACACACACCAGTACACACATAACGTGGCCCACGGAAACACACACACAAAGACACACTCAGGCCCACAAATAGGCGTATTTACACTCTGACACAGGTGTTTGAACTTGTGGGAAGGTGTTTGGCTCCTTTGATACGGACGGTTAGTATTTCATAGTCTTTCATCGTCATATTAAGTGTCATGGAAGTTTCCAAAAGAGGCGTTCTTCTGACCCCTAGTGGTGATATAACAGAATCAAGACCTGATGGCTGCTGGGACGTGGTTTGGAACTGTCAATGACTATTTTCACTTCCATTTGCACTTTAAATTAGCTTTTCAAAAAATCTATCTTAATCTACAAGCTTAGTTTTTCCTTTTTGAAAGTGTTGGTTATTAAGGCACCTTTGTAACACATTAACATGATAACCACACCCTACATTATTAATCATCTCTAATGTTTGAAAGGAAAATAAGCTGTTTGAAGAATTTGTTTCTACATGTAAAATAAGGTAAACCTCTTTCCCCCCATATGGATTATAAACTGTGGGATTCCTAATATGAATTATTACAGTGCCCGTTTGTGCATTTATAAAGTCCATTATTATATACAACTTCTCAGGGGGAATAAAAATCCAGTTTTAAGATGACATTATGTGCTGTCTTTGAAGTGTCATCTGTTTTCAATGTTTAGTCTTTATGTACGGATGATGAACAGATTATTAATTATGAGAAAAATGAGACATGTGATTATTAAATTCATATAACAGTATATTATATCAGTAAATCGGCCGAGCTGTGCATTTTTCTTGCAGTCGTTTATGTGAGCTGAGTTGCAGGAGCTCACCCTGACTGTTGGAGCGGTGCTTTACTCTGAGCAGCAGATCTCCTCCGTCCAGCTCCACAGCACCCCCCTCTGGACCCTCAGCCTGAGTGACACAAAAACACAAGAGAGGAGAGAGAAATAAGCCAACACAAAAACCCCTCAGAGGATAACATTTTGAAATACTTACTGGTATGACAACTAAACAAAACATATACAAAACATAACTATACTGAATATTTAGCTCAATTATTATTCACAATTTAAAAAAGAGAGAGTTTATTACAGTGATAACACTACACTCTATACCCAATTTATCTTTTAGAACGGATTCTTTGATGAGATATTGAAGTATGAAATAATATCACTTTACACGGTTTCAGCAAAACTGACATGCAATTGAGAGACTAGTGAAATATTGAGCAGAGTAAAAAAAATGGTGCAAAAGATTTCTCACACCACTCTCCTATCTGTGTGATACATAAAGCAACAGGTAGCAGCCAGTTTGTTTAGCTAAGGTAAGGCTCCAGTACTTACACAACTCCTCACCCACATCAAGCCCTGGCAGCATGTTATCCCAGCCCTCATATTTGGACACTTTTCTTTTTTTCAAACCTCTGGACTCCCATCCTTTGTCTAGTTTGTGTTTTTTGTTCTGTCTCTTATTGTAACTCTGCAATGTAAAGCCTCCTTTGGTCCTTTAAAGAGGTTTACATTAATGTAATATATTATTATTATTAAGCTCAGCTAAACTTAGCCAAGTGTAAAGAATAGAAAAAGAGAATCTTAGAGCCTTTAACTGTCAAAATGTTACGATCAAACCATCTGCACCTCAACATTTGATTAGTTATCAAATCATGTCTTCTTCATGATTTGACATTCAATAAATGTTTAGTTTCATGGTTCAGTAGTCTAGAGGTGGTATTTTTATTCTTCTGGTTTTCTTGAATCCTTATGATTTTATATTGAACACTTTGTGTGACCGTAGACAACAGACCTTTTTCTAAAAATGATTTTCTCCTCCTTATTTTCATCATCACAGCTTGTGTATCTACACCTCCTCTGCTCTTTTTACCTTCGGACACAGCGGGTACCAGTTGAAGCGCTGGGACATCTTGTCGTCAAACCTCCAGCCATCCAGGGGGATCAGGACCTCCCCGAGAAACACCTTCTTTCTCAGGGTTCCTGAATGCCACACAGAGGCCTGAAGTCTCTTCCCAAACAGCAGGGGGCGCTCTATGTAATACTATTTAAAAAAAACAGGCAAAGAACTTTATTCAACGTGACAAAGTCAAGCATGACCACACAGAAGCTTAGAATAATTGAGGCCTGCTAATATTTTTAAAGTGTTTATCTCAAGATTATTTTTTAGTTATTTAATTAACCTGAGAAAAAAAGTGCCATTATCTTATTTTGTATCAAAACTGGAACTTGGAAACTGGATGAATACTGTATAAAAACGTGCTGCTTCTTTCTCGGATCATTTTGTTGAGTACAGATAAAACAAAACAGCAGATGAGTCCTCTTCTGTTTTGTCATGATCAATCATCTCTTTACCTTGACAAATTAGGGGACAAGCCAAATAGCTGACATACATGTTTTAGAAGATAATAGCAGTTCTATTTTTACCTTTAAGACTTCGTTATAAACTGGATCAGTCGTGTTTTTCTTCACCGCTGTCTTCAGCTTGCTGCTCTTTTCTGGGAGCACGTAGAGTTTCACATATCTACACAAAGAAATAACAAGTACAGATTGCTGACATGTTTGTGAATCACACTTTAAAACGGGGTAATTCGGAGTGCCAGTCTGTGATATCCTTACGGGTTGCATTTCTTCCTCTTGGCGTCTCCACAGGTGAGATTTCTGCAGGCCCTGACCCAGATCTCCAGACAGGAGGAGCTGCTGCTGTAGGACAGAGCGAGCTCCAGCTCTCCTGAAACAGTGATGCTCTCGAAGAAGCTGCTAACGCTGCTGGTGCTGCCCTGAAGGAGGAAAACACAGACGTTAACTCTGTATTCTATGTTTCTAAAGGACTGCTTTAGCAGCATATCAGCTGCTAATTGATATGTTAAAGAGATAGGAGGCTGATACGATCACCGTCCGTCTACAATTCTGCTAAATCAGGATGTTACTTTGTAATGTTTTTTTTCTACTATTATCAGATTGAACTTACTCTCTTTCCTCCTGAGTACTCAGAACTGCATGAAGTTTCTTCTTCTGCCCCGGTGGAGGAGCCTTCATGGTCGCTGTCTTTGCTTTTCTTGAACAGGTTTGGAAGGCTGGGCATTTTAAAGAGCTGAAAAAAACAACAAAGGAAACTCATTTATTAACTGTGCTTTTAAAGGCTGACAGTTATTCTATAGTATAACCAGTAGAGATGACTTTAAGCTCCTTTAATGGCCTCTTTCAGAGCTCTAATAGGCCTTGTTAGCTTTGGTATATTCTCATGAAGGTGAACTCGGTCCATACAAGTGTGCAGCTGATTAATCGAAGGATCGGGGCTGCTAAGCACACTTGTGTCTCTAGTTTCCTTTAAAGTATTTTATGAAGTTTTTTTTAGCCGACTCACATTTTTGGATTTGTTGATGTCGGTGTCGGAGAGACTCTTCTGGTTGCTGAAGTTGAAGCAGGACCCTCTGCGGATGTTGTCAACACTGAGCAAGTCATTCTGAGACGTTGAAATCTCTGCATGGAGAAAACAGAAGTGGTGGATGAAAGACTGATTCAGATTGCATTGATTTATATCAATTAACAGTCTTGCATTGGAATGTTTCTTTTTGACTTTTTTTATTATTATTATTAATGGTACATTTTTACAGTTCATTAAATTTAATTTTTAAGCACATTTTTGATATTTTACTTTATTTTATAATATTAACACATTTCTTAGACATAGTTAACTGAGAGTGTTTGGATTCTTTGATGGATTTTTTAAAGAATACTAAAAGGAAAACGTGAAATAACAAATATTTTTGCATAAAATTACAAAAACGTCAAATCTAGACAGTTGCCATTTTACTTTTTGGTCAATCAAATAACTCATTATTCGACAAAACCTTCCAATCTTTCAGGAAATCCTCAAATTCAGTAGAAAGAATTTTTTAATTAATTAATTTATTAATAATTACAGAAATATGCAAACTAGGGAATTGTTCACTGCCTGGATTAAGTTCACATGAATGTTTAAATGGGTCACGAGTCTCATGTTGTCAAAGCGGTTTGTACAAAGTTTGCAACATGCCGGTGCAACAGGATCTAAGTTCGTCATCCTGATGTGAAACTGCTGCTGATGCAGATCTGACGGCGAGGTAAGAGGGGCGTTTGATTTGTCACGCTATTTGAGATGCATCACCTCTGTGGTTTTCTCTCTGCTCTTCAGATCATATAACATTCAGAGGAAGTGATTCTTCTGAATCTGATAAAACATTTCACACCTAAATGCACTCTGATGACACTCAATGTGTTCAAGTTTTAAGTTGTTACTAACATTGTCCTGAGTCATTGGAAAACATACTTTTAATGTGAGAGGTGACATGAACCATCAGGTCCTCCATGGACTTGTTGAAGGTTCTTGAGCTTTTCCAATCCTGCAGATTAAACACACAAACAAGACAATCAATTTATCAATCATACTTTTATTTCTAGAAAAATGATAAATGAAAATGTATTTTACCCCAGATCTGCTCAGAAATGGAAATTCCATGTAGGGTGGAGGAGTGGGAGGTACAACTGATATATGACTGAAGAGAAAGGGAAATATGGCTTACTTTTAATGTTGTGTCAATCGGTTTTAAAAAATAACATTATAACAAAATGTACAGATACATTTGGTAACATTTCCATACCTCAGCACACTGTAGGTCTTTAATAGTTTCTCCCCAACCGTCTCATATTTCGCTGAAAAAAAACAAACAGAAATATGATTTTGAACCTTGAACCTTGAACCTTGATATTGAATAATTGATTAACTGCCTCAGTCTACACATAGGAGACAGTGAAACACAAACAACCCAGATCCTCTCTGTTTTATGAGGCAATGGATTAAAACTGGATTTAAACAATGAAGTATCTTTAGTTCATAGAAAGGTTGAAAATAAAAAGAAACAAATGGTGCATGCAGGAAGTCCTAGTATTGCAAACAAACCTGTGGTGACTGGAAATTTGTGTGAACACTCGTCTAAGAACCATTCTCCAGACCTGATCTTCACCTCCCTGTGAGAAAAAAAAGGAACTCATGATTAACATGAACACTGGACAACACATACTGAAGCCCAAAGTGGGGAAAACAACATGAAATGCACTTTTTTCAGTCTGATCACAATTGTTTTCTCCTCTGTGCTTATAACTGAATAGCATGCATACAAAAGGTTTTGACGGGATCATCTTTGTTTTTTAATTTTTTTCCGCTTCTGGGAATATCGGTTTTGAGGGTGAAAAATCAACGACCTTTTTTTAAGCATTTAAAAAAAAGGTAGTTGATGTAATGCTCATTTTCGCCACAGGGGGCAGACATGCAGCATGTTACGAAAGAACTTCAAACATTACATTTTAAAACCTTTCTCTCCCCTCCTGTTATGTAGAAGAAAATAAACTTGAGGAAAAGCATGGGCGGTTCTAGGCAGGGGCCAACGGGGTCCAGTGCCCCTGTAACACTGAGCTTGGTCTCCCCTGTGGCCACCCCTCCAAAAGGAAGAGCCCCCCCTAATAACACTATACTCAATATTTGACTCAACAACTGGACTCACAATCTAGTATTAAATACTGAAACAAATATAAATCATGGTATTTTATGATGTGCTTTTATTTGGCATAATATTTATATATTTTTTTAAAGCAATCATCTTTGTCTATTTTCTACCTGGGTTTAATGTTCCCCTCTGACAAAACAACTGGTCCCCGTTTGGCCCCCCTCAGTAAAAGTGGACTAGAACCTCCACTGAGGAAAAGATCAAGATTATCAGGACAAAATTTTGTTTTTAATTGTTCAAAAGTCAAACAAAGGAAAGAAAATGATTGAGATCAAGACAAAAAAAAATAGTTTTTCTCACTTTACCAGCGCTTCTGTACTCATACTAGTATGCCTATACCATAAACTGTGTATAAAAAGTCTATCCTACACTCATACTGAAAAAGAAGAGGCAGCTATACAGCAATTCTATTTACTGCCCCTGCCCACCTAACTATTTAAAAGAAGTGCTATCCTGGCTGACTTTTTTCTGATAAATTAAATTAAAACATTCACTTTTATTTTAGCTCAGATTTTTTATTCAGTTAGGGTATAAGTTTGAATGAGGAAAAAAAAAAAAAAACTGAGATTAAAGCTTTCCTGAGTCAAATATAGATTTTCTCCTTGCATTAATCAGATGGTTGAAGTGTTTGCCTCACCTGTAGGCGTAACAGACCGTGCACTTCCAGCCCGCCGCTCCCACGCCCACTCGACACCTGCTGCAGATCCGGTGGCTGCAGCCGCGGCACACGTCACCACAGTTCCAGAACTTTCCCAGGGGCCTCTGGCAGCGCGCGCACGTCCGCTCGCCGTACTGCCGCGCATGACTCTTCGCACCTCTTCTCCGAAGCTCCTGGAGCTCATGTTTCATCCTCCTGAGGTAAAGGAAAGCATTGATTAGATAACTGACGACCTCTCTGTTGCTGTTTTTTTTCAAACTGTTCATATCATATGGTGGAACAGACATGGACCAGTGGCATCTCCAGTAAGCACTGGTTAACTCATACATGCACTTCAGTTTCATTTAAAGGAGTTATTATTCACATGCACACTCCTGTACTCTTTCCAGCATGGTGCTAGAGTTCAAAACAGGAGCGTGAAGATTTTTTTCCATTCCTACCAGTGTTCTATCAAATAGTGCTACCCATTGAGATGTGCTTCCATGCAGCTCAGTAACAGCATCCTACAGGGAGCATTTTTGGATAGGAGCTTTTTTCATCTATCGAGGAATGCTTTCTCTGAAATCTTAAAGCATTTTAATTAAAGAGTATCTCAACAGACTTGTTGTTTCCCTACAGTGCAGCGAGTCGTGGTGTTTCAAAGTGATTCTGTACTGTGAGCATTATTTCATAACTGTCCCCTGAAATCTTTAATAATAGACTTATGGAGTCTAGAATATGGAGTGAGAATATAAGGTTATTTATTTCTTATATGCTTATTTCAAAGGGGATACAGATAGCCTGTCTGTCCCTTCTATGGTTTTGCACTATGGTTGCATTTTTTTTTGTCAAGGCAGCACATCTTGTCAGAACACCGGCAGTTTTCTAACATCCGCTTTAAACAGCCAGAAAAGTTGACAACCTGCCTTCAAAATAAAAGATCAAACCAATTGCAAACATAACAGAAGAGAAGAGTTAACCTCATTTAGAAGCAAGTTTAGATAAGAGGTTATTGATTAGATATTTACACTTCATTTTCATGTCATTAGAAAGATTACCTGATTTAAGATGAAGTAGCTTTGGTGGGAAAAAAAACACGACTTTTTGACATTGTGATAACTGTTTTTTTTTTTTTTTTAAATAACTACTTTGTTTCATTGGTTAAACGGATTTCCTAGATAGACATTTCTCACCTAATCCTGTCCTCTTCGATGATACGCAGCTGTTTGTCTCTCCGAAGAACCTCCAGGACCCGTTCTCTCTCCAGAGCTTGAAGCAAACTTAAATCCATCTCTGAACAACGGTCTCAATCTTCTGTGTGTCTCTCTCACCGGTCCTCTGCAGTCTGCCTCTCATCCACTCTGTTTCTCTGTTTTCTTTCTGTTTCTGCCTCCTCCTCCTCCTCTTCTCTTTAACCCTCCCACTTTTACTGGACCCCGATCTCCACTTCAGTCTCTTAAAGCTGTAAGAATAAAAAGAGAGATGGTAAAGGTTATGCTGCTGCTGCTGCTGCTGTTGGGGTCTTTCTTTTTCTGATCTTTATGTCCGTGGAGTCTCCCTCCACGTCAGAGCCGGATATAACCCTTCTGAGCAGATAACACTAGTTGTCATGTTTCTACTTGGATGATTCAAGTTCAGTGTGTCTACATGACAGCAGGGGAAATACCCTCATGACATATTCTTTTCTGCAGAATTACAAATCTGCATCCTGATGACAGGTAGACAGAAATATCTCAGAAACATAGAGTCAGATGAAACATGAAACTAAAACCAATACTACATTAGGCCAGTGTTTAAAACACCCAACTACTGATTGCATTCATTTCCTCATCTTCCTCTTTTATGACAGTATTAGAGGCTTTATCCCCCCCCTCCCAGTATTTAGCCTCTTGTCTGACCAGCTCCTCTTCCTCGGCTGCAGGAAGAGCAGTGATGCTTCACTGATGACACAACCACACAACAAACCAAATGCCAACTCCTGCATTATTGATGGATGACGTGCATCTGTGTTCTGGTTGTTCTAGTTCCATTTTTTTTTCTTCTTTTTCTGCAGGTCAGTGGACTTTATCCAAGGCCAGGTTTCCACACTTTCATGGACATGAGTCTGCTTCTGTTCGGAGTTCCTGCCTGTTTAAAGTTTGTCCTTGCCTCCTAACTTTGCAAAATGTTTCTTTGTGCTCATGATGGATTAACGTTTGGTCTTTGTAAATACTGTAACAAAGAGTAAGGTCTTTTACCTGCTCTTTTGGAAAGTGTCTTTAGATAACAGTTGTTATGAATTGGCACTATACAAAAAAAAAAGAAAGACTGATTGATTGAAGTTGTGATGCTTTCCCCTGAAGTTCTGTCTGAAAAAACAGGGAGGAGTTCTGATTCATACAACTTTATTTTACTCATCCGTCTTAGTCTGGGAACTAGAAGCATCTGCGAGCTCATGTTTTTCCTGATTCTTGCAGATGCATCTCGCCCGGTCACCTGTTCTAACAGATTTCCATCTGACCTCACACTGGTCGGGCCAAATCCCAACAACCTATCTAAGATTGGGCGGGTTTGATGTTAGGATAGATGAAGCTTTTCGTGAACAACCAAGATGTCTGTTGCTAATGATTAAAGTTCTAAATCAATTGACAATATAACGGAACAAAAAGTGCTCGCTTCTAAATCATGTGAATTATCTGAGAGCCATATCAAGTGGCTGTTGCGACTAGCTAGCTAGCCTAGCAGTCTACCACTTCATGTCACATTTTGTTGCTTTGCTTAATAGAAGCTTCCAGAGGTATTTTCAGGTCTGCACCTTTTAATAAGACCCCTTGCAAATAAATGTAGAGGTTCCAGATTATACATGTCTGTCAGTCTTTCAATACAAAGGCAAGCTCCTCAGTTTACAGTAAAGCTAAATGACCTTATATTGGCCTTACTGATGAAAGATCATTGCCAGTTTTTTCACTTCTCGCCTGGCTCAATTTTATCCTCCAATTGTCAAACTATATTTTAAGCTGTCATTCATCTCATTAGAGATTCTACTTTTTGTGCCTAGTGCAGTTTGAAACGAAACCCTTGTCCTCTTCAGTGGTGAAGCATCTTGAGAGCAGAGGAAGCTGTGTGTTGAATAGCTGGATGCCAATCTGTGCTGTTAGATAAGAGCCTGTCCCTGTTAGTATCCAGAGCTGCCAGGAGGCCGGACTAAACCATCAGTGTCAGCTGTAATGAGGCCTCGTGGCTTACAGCTGTTATCTGTCCTTTTGCTGATGTGCTCCATGCCTGAAGGGAATCTCTGAAGTTGTAAATATCACTGAGGCAAGATGTGAAATATGTTAGGAAGGTTGTGATGCAGCGGGCGTTTCGTCATGCATGTTTGGGAAATTTTCCGTTCTGAAGACTCTCAGTTTGACAGTTTGTTGAAGGCTTTATCTTGTGCAGGGGATGATGATGGTCACATACAAGCACACTCATTTCACCCTCTCTCGTACTCTGCAAAGGACCTCGATGATTCAGACTGTCCGTGGTTTAGTGGTGACTCTTGAGTTCGCATCCGAGAAGACATGGTGGACCTTATCAGCCCACCACAGCTAGTGACAGTAAAAGAACACCTTACTGGTTGCATTGGGAGCTAAATACAGAGCTTGAGAGCAGTGAGAAAGACCAAAGCTATCGCATTGTCTGCTCTGACACATTTCCCACCCAGAGCAGAGCTTCCTGGAAAGACCTGTGAGAGCGGCTGCATACGTCAAGTCAAAGCCAGACTGATCACCACATGCACAAATCCAAAGACAAACCAAAGGACGGATTCTGTCACGATTGTTAACCAAACCGACAGAGACATGTGGGTTGGTTATTTTAACACAGAATGACCTCAATTTTAAAAACCAGCTGGAGTAGTAACAACAACAAAAAAATGCTGGAATATATCTGCATGGGGTTGACATCAGTGCTTTTTAAAATCCATGCATCTAACTTTTGAAAGATTAAGAAGAGTTAACTTAAGAACAAACGAAGAGACTAGATTTCCTTTTCAATGAACAGCTCTGACAGGAAGTAGCACCCGCTTTTTCAAACTTTTAAACTTGCATAGAAGTACAAGTTGAAAGACATCGCTCTGCAATACAGAACGTGAAGATTCATCAAAATGTGTAACGTAAGAATGTAAAATGTGAAGATCTTATGCATGCAGCACAACGTGCACGAGATCCTTTGAGGAGGACTAAATGAGAGCTCGGCTGTGATTGCAAAAGCTTTGCTGAACACACCCTGAGCTTCTGAAATCTGAGACGTCCCTGTGACTCAGGTGAAAAACGTTAGAACTCCATGTGGCTCATTTTACAAAAACAAAGAAAGGGAAAGTAAGGTCAAGTTTGTTACATAAGAACCAGGTTGATGCAGAGCTAAAATGCACGTTGACAGAAGCTTACCGTCAGGCTCGCTGCACCGCTGGAGTGGTCATCCTGAGGAAGTGGCAGATTTTATACACTTAAGCGAACATACAGAACATTTCCTTCCTCTCTCTGTTCGCACGCATGCTGCAATCTGGAGAGAAACTGCTGGGCGGTTACATTGCACATTTTCTCTGAGAGCTTTCCTTTGTTTTGGGCGTCCCACTGTGTGCAAAAGTGTTTCTGTGCGGACCTAATCTAGGTGTACTACTGAGGAATAAAGAACACAAGCCACAAGGTCAGAGTAGAAGAGTTGTCTTTATGAAATTGTGTGTTGGACTGTAGCTGCCATTTCTGACAAAGCTGTGAAAAAAAGAAAAGAAAAAAAAAGAAGCTGATACACAATGGAAGTGCCTTAATCTGTTGAAGTCATTCTTCACAGATGATGTGCCGACCTCAACTTCTACAGCAAAGATAAAAAGATTGAACATGGAATGTGTTTATCCCAGAATAAACATTAAGCTGCAGACACACACACACGCACGCACGCACACACACACACACGCACACACACACACACGCACGCACGCACGCACACACACACACACACACACAGAGTTAGGGATGGATCACAGAGAAAACAGACTGACGATTTTCGAACAACAAATAACTGAAGTTAAGCTGCACTTTTAAATCAGCAGCCGCATCGGAGAGGTTTTTTTGTTGTTGCGTGCAGAATGTAACAACAGAAAGAAAACTAAAGAGATTAAAAAATTCTTTAAGAAACAGCTCAAATTGGATGCAAAAGACCAGCAGAATAAAACAACCACTGACGCAACACAGCTACAAAGACAACTAAATGCAGCCCCTTCACATCGAGGCTCCTCAACTAAAAGACATGCCATGTTCGACAAAATAGTTCTTTTTATACGCTATAAAACAACTTCACTAACACACGCGCGATACGGACTGAATGAAAGAATGAAACAGCGTTTATGGCTCTGATAGAGGGAGGAGACGGGGTGAAACTCTGGGTTTGTTGAAGAAAACCTGCTCCCGACCAGGTTAGGTTCACAGACTCAGTTACCATAGTAACTGACTCAGAGGTAAGGTTACCTCCCTCTCTGGAACAGGCCTAAATTACCCCTCTTTCTCGGGTTTGAGTGACCTCCCTTTCTGAAACAGAAAGCCCAGAGTTTGCCTCATTTCAGGGTTAACAAACTCAGTATTTGCGCTTAAGCTTCTTTCTGAAACGGGCCCCAGGAAGAGAGAGATGACGACACATGATGGGAGAAAGATGTAACTACGTTTCCAAGACAGAAGAAAACTACAAACAATCACTTATGTAACACAACTTGATAGAGATTAAAAAGGCCTCGAAGCGAAACGACACAGCTTCAGAAAAACAACAACAAATGACAACAAACTTCAAAGAGATCCAAAATGGTGGCAAATATGCAGAAAACCACAACAGCTACACACAACAGACACAAAGAAAATCAAAACCACAAACAGAAAGAAAGACAACAAAGGGATGCAAGACGACCATGAAAGCTCATAAAATGATCTCAAGGAGACAATATTGAAACACAGATGTAAAATGCTTTCAAATATGCAAAAAAAAACCTTAGAGACAAAAAACAAAGGACTTTAATAGACACTCAGTCTTTCAGCCTGGGTGTCCCGCTGCTATGTTTGAAGTGCTGGAGGGGTTTATGTCTTTATGAAGGGGAACATTTATCTGTAATCCATCCATGCACACAGAACACAAACATTTCTCCAAACAATTCAAAATTATACAATTCTCACAAAAAATCCATTAACAGAAGCACACATTTCAAATTCCCAACAACATTGGTGATGTATAAAAAGAATACAAAAATAAATCAATGAACATGAAACAGCAATGTTAGACATGTGAAGCTAATTGTTTTCTTAAACTCTCGTATGTGGGGTTTTCCAGGCTGTCGCAGCGCTGTCCAGATGTGCGACAGCAGACACAACTGTCTCCAGATTTTTGAGTTTCTTAAAGTGCTCCTGCTAATAAAAAACACTGTGGTCTATATATATATATATATATATATATATATATATAATTTCCTTTAATCAATAAAAGTAGTTTTTTTCCCCCTTTTATTAGACAAAATTTTCAAACAGAGAAAAAAATCTTTGGAGCCGGTCAGCAGCTCTGACGGCGTCTTTGGTTCAGAGCTCTGGATACAAAAAAGACGGACTTTCCTGAATCAAGTACTTAAGAACAAGAACGTGCATATAAACAGCTTTCACACACTGAACTCTTCAACATTTGGGAAATACAAACAATTACAAAAAAAAAACATCTGGAAGGGATTTAATGTTCAGACCCTTCTGGTTTGAACAGAGAAGAAATGTACAACAGCTACACCCTGTGATGATGGGTCAAACTGTGTCCATGTAGACAGAGGCCTGCTGTGTAGATCAATATGGCTTCCTTTGCAGATTAAAGCTACATTAGAGAATGACTCTGATGTTATGCAGTCTGTAACAAAGTCTTGAGCTGTAGCGTCTCTTCCACTGATATCCTGTCATGGTAGAAGCTTAGTCCGCTCAGAAACTCGATGTCTCGAACCCGCGCAGCATGGAAGTGCAGCCAGCCCTCCACCCAGGTCAGGTCTCCCCGATTCTGTGAGGAGGAGGAGGGGGGGGGGAGAAAATAAACATAAACCAAGAATAGTGACAAAAAATTCACAGTTTGTTCAGTTGATCCACTATAGGATCGGTCAGCAGGTTTCCACAGAGGCCGGCTGATCAGATGAGACTCATTGTTAGGCTTTGTCTTTAGTCAGATAGAACAGTGGAGCGGGTTTCAGAGAGAGAGATGGGGTGTGACATGGTGCTACTCACAGCACAGCATTCTGTGTAGTCGGGTCTGTGGGGCAGGATGAAGGCCTTGGCCTGCAGGGGACCCTCACAGTCAACGGGGCTGAAGTTTGAGTTCCCACAGCTGGTCAGAATCATGAAGAAATGTGTCGGCACGGGAGCCTCGTTCCTGCAGAAACACGAGACCACAGGGCTTAAGAAACCTCTGCAAACTAGTGAACAGAAAACTTGATTTGTCACACTTTAAATAGGTGGTTCTGATCTTCAAATGTTTTAACCCCAGCATTGGACATTAGAGGACAGAGGGCAAAAACATTCAAAATCATCTGAATTTTTTATATTTAAAAAAAAAACATTTGCCAGTCAAAGAAGTTGCACTGTGAAGTTAAATTGTTCAATTACAACACTTTGGAAATGATGCAATTAGAGAGACCACATTTAAAAGTTCCTTCATTTTATTTGATTTAAAATAGGGTTCAGCCCTCAACTTATCAAGAAATCAATGTTGCAGGCTTCAAATTTCAAAGCGAGTAATATATCCTCTCTTTGTATGCTACAGGAACAAGGGGAACAACTAGTCACTATTTAACAGAACATACAGAGCCTTTATTTAGACGTACAGACTAAAACTACAGCTGTCTGATTGTATAATTGCACACAGTCAGAATGTTACCAGGTCTCAGTTATTTAGGAAAATAAGAGGAAGTATAAATGATCATGTAATAGACTGCTGGGAGCAACATCTTGAAGACCTCTAAGGGGTAGGAGGGGGGGGGGTCTCACTTACCCTGAGATTGCTTTGAGTGCATCAATGTTTCCATCATAGTCTTCATCAAATATTGGCCCACTCATGATGTTCACTCCGTTCAGCTGTCGTGAATATTGTGGAATAATGACGTCATGGACATGGGTCCAAACATCTGTCAGGGTCAAGGGGGAGAAACACACAAAACACTTTAGTTCTCCAGTAATACACAACACAGTCCACCATGGTGCGGACTGTGAAAAGAAGAAGCTGAGGGTCACATCATTACAAGTTCAAACTGGTAAGTTGTTAACAGGCGCACTTGGAAATATGATTTTTCTTTAACTTTATAGGAAACTTTATGATGTGAATTCTTCAGAAATACAGTAAGAGCCATGGGCTAAGTGTTTGTCTGTGTTTCAAGACAAACCTCATCATAACGGCCTTCTATTGTACCTTTATATTTACTCTTATTTGACTCTGGTCAGATCTGTAATTAGTTTGTGTATCTGAAGGTACTGTTTTCATTTTAAGTCCACTGCATGAAAAGGACATCTTAATGTGTCGACTGAATTGTAATGTAAGGATTGTTATGTAATGTCATGTACAGACTATTGTTTAAACCGTATGTTTCTATATTTCCAAACAAGGGGGTTTTATTGCATTTTAAGTACTTTACAGAACAAATTTAGATACAATACACAAACTGACATCCAAGCAACTTGACCCTTAACCTGTGTGTCACACAGGAACACCTCGTGTACGGATGTGTTTTATAGAGAGCTAAACAGGGAACCATGCTAATCTGATCATCTCTCCATTCTTTGCAGTCTAATTGTTTGGCTTCTTTAATGAATAATTGTGGGTTTTATTTGATTGTGAATCATGATTTTTTTAACTTTTTTTTTTTTTAACTATACACCATGTAAGCACAGGGACCTGCCACCAGGGGGCAGCATCCGTTTCCTGATTATGAAAAAGGATTACAACATACACAAGCTAACGTTTTTTTTTTTTTGTAAGGGGGATCTTTTTCTTCCAATGGGACCTCATTGCAGTGATTGAGAGTTTCCATGTAGTGTGTGTGTGGGTGGCCCCCGAGGACAAACAATCAGAGCTACGTGTCCATAACGCTCAGATTTCTTTATATATTAATCACCAAACACCTTCAACAAGTTACAACAAAAAAAACAGCTCATCAGTGCAACCAAGCTTACCACAGTATTAAGCCACCAAATACTCAGAAAGGTTCACATGACACATTTACTTATATAATCCTGTTTTTTTTACAGTCTGCAGGTACAAACTCAGTCCTGAACTGAATAACCTGAGAAGTCTGAATGAGCACAACAGAAGAATGAAGGGACGGCACTGACACGCCTCACACTCCCATTTTCACATCATTTTAAACACAGATGTTTTCAGGTAGGTAGTATATGAGTATATTTTCAGGAGCCTGCTCTGATGAATAACTTCAGTCAGATGACAAACTAAAGCACAATCAAAGTGAATCTTATTGAGTAAAAAAAACTGGGGTGTTTATC